TCTCCAAATTACAATTTCTAAAAACGAGATGGCTGTCCCCTAACCATCCCATTCTCACCCATAGTGCAGCAATTATGGAGCCTAGATGTGCGTGCCCCCATCCTGATGTCCGTATATGGGGGATAGATGGTAAACTAGTGCTATGGTGGTACACTAGTGGTGGCGGCTCCTATTCAAAAGCCTGGCGGAAGAGCTCCGTCTTGCAGGCCCTGCGGAACTGTGCTAGGTCCCACAGAGCCCTGATCTCCTCTGGGAGCTCGTTCCACCAGGTTGTTGTTGGTCAGTCGCACACTTGAGTCCGACTCTTCGTGACCCCGTGGACCACATCACGCCAGGCCCTCCTGTCCTCTGCCGTCCTCTGGAGTTTGCTTAATTTCATGTTCATTGCATCAATAACACTAACCATAGTGGGGGTTGGAATAGATGACCCTGGAGATCCCTTCCAACTCTATGATTCTATTATCTCATCCTTTGCCAACCCCTTCTTCTTTTACCTTCAATCTTTCCCAGCATCAGGGTCTTCCCCAGTGAATGATCCCTTCTCATTTGGTGGCCAAAGTATTTGAGCTTCAGCTTCAGTCTCTGGCCTTCCAGGGAACAGTCAGGGTTGATTTTTTTTAGGACCGGCTGATTTGATCTCCTTGCAGTCGAAGGGACTGTCTTCTCCAGCACCATAATTCGAAAGCATCTATTCTTCGGCGCGCAACCTTCCTTATGGTCTAACTCTCGCAGCCATACATTAGTACTGGGAATACCAGGTACCAGATTGTAATCTTTTGTGTATGTGAAATCTGCTGGCAGCAACTTGGACCACAAGTATCAAATACGGTAGCTTCAGGGCTCTAGTCGGGGGGGAGCTCTCAGGTACGGAGCTCCGGAAGAGAACCTCTAGGGGGCGGGGCAGTCACGTGGTGAAGCCCCGCCCCCTTCTTTACCCCGCCCTCTGCTTCGATCCTCATTCCGTTTGGGAATGAGGATGAAGCAGGAGAGTAAGTAGCCGGGCCTTCTGACACACTTCCGGTGATGTCAGGGGGTGTGGCCTTCTGTCACTTCCGGTGATGTCAGGGGGCGTGGCATATGCAAATAAGTTATGCTAATGAGTTATGCTAATGAGCTCCGGCAGCTCTTTTTCTACAACAAGACCCCTGGGTAGCTTAATCTAAAATGATCGAAAGCCTGCAGTCCATTTGAGGTACCGTTGGACTTTCAATTGTGGAGTTTAAGGATTACATTCTAAACTTCTCACGTTTGGTTCAGACTCACAGAACAAACATGGGAAGATGTGTGTTAATGAGCTACTGAGTCAGACCTGGGAATTGTGCTAGCCGTTTGTATGCCTTAAGCAATGTATGCCATACACAGCAATTACAGGCGTATACACCTAATTTGCTCAGGGTAAAAGAGGAGAGCGCAAAAGTGGGCTTGAAGCTCAACATTAAAAAAAACTAAGATCATGGCATCCAGCCCCATCACTCCTTGGCAAATAGAAGGGGAAGTCGTGGAACTAGTGACAGACTTCACGTTCCTGGGATCCCAGATCACCACAGACTGTGACAGCAGCCATGAAATTAAAAGACGCCTGCTCCTTGGGAGGAAAGCGATGGCGAACCTAAACAGCATGATAAAAAGTAGAGACATCACCCTGCCAACAAAAGTCTGCATGATCAAAGCAATGGTATTTCCCAGTAGTCAACAGGGTTTTTTGCACTCTAGGCGAGACCACCTTCTGGTGCCCCCCCACGCGCCCACCAATTATGGGGTTGCCAACCTCCAGGCAGAGTGGATCAGACTCCCTCGGGAGGTGGTGGAGGCTCCTGAATTCCAGGTATTTCCCAACCTGGAGCTGGCAACCGTGCACAGAAACTGTGTCCATTCTTTGCTTTGATGCGGAGAGAGCGTGCACGCAGTTGGGCTTGCTGAATGTCTCTAACCCGACCTAACCTAGTGGCCACCACTGCATCCAGTGATGGTGAGTTCCGCAGGTGACTGATGCCGCAGGAGAAGCCCAATCCTAATCCACTGCCAGTCAACTGCAGGGGGTGCCTCATCATCTGCCAGTCCTAAGGGGCGGATTCAAACACTGCCGCAAAAGATCTCCGCTGTGCATTGCACCTGATGTCAAGGCCATAGACTTTCCAATTTCCCGGGGGGGTGGGGCTGGGGCTGGGCCAGAGGCATTGCTAAGTCATTAAAAGAACTGGGACCCCATGACATCATAGGGAGGAGCTAGTGACATCACAGGCCATGGTCACTATCTATGGAGGTGGACCCATGTGGGATTTAGGGATGGGCTCCCCAGAAATTTAGGGAGGCCTGGGAACCGCCCTAGCAATGTCCCTGGGCTGGGCTAACCCCAGGAACAGTTGTCTTCTTAGCACACTGCTTAGAAACGTAGAAAGCCCCACACATACCCCACACTGGAATAAGAACATAATATCAGGCCGTACCACATTGCAATAAAGCCCCTACAACTGTATACAGAAATACTGAGCTTCCCTACCATTTGCCACAACTAGCCCACCACACAACCAGGATCAAGACTCCTAAGTGGACCAACAGACAGGCATACACTCGTTTGAGAAACTGAGTATTACATTACAACACCTCTGGAAAATTACAGATCAGTAGAGGCAGCACTGCACAGTGGTCAGAGTTGCAGATTGATGTGGGGAAGCCCTGGTTTGTATTCTCACTCTGCTGGCTGAGTGACACCGGGCCAAATCTCCCCTTCTCTACCTAACCTACCCCACAGGGTTGTTGTGAGG